AATCATGAACTGTAAACAGCCCCCCCTTTGTAGATGCCTCCTGGGTATGTCATAAGATTTCAGTTCAGCATCTAAATTACATATTGGAAATCACTGGTTACAATTTTGACAAAGTCATTGGTATTTTTCCGAAGTCCAACATGGTTCTTATTTTGTCTGCTACAGATTACATACCAAATCTAATCAGTAAAAAGAGAAAAATAATGGATGGAGTTAAAAACTATAAAGGTAGTCATAAAACTACATATATATATATTTTTATATATATATACACATACATATATATTATGTTGGAGGCACTTTTTCTGTGAACATTTGGGATTACTACTTCATAAATTATAACAATTCTGTTGCTCAGACAACTCAAAAGAAGCTCAAATCCCTGTGGCTTTCTATTCTCTGTCTTTTAAACCATCTTCTACTACAACAGAATTAATTCTAACACCTGAAGAAATCCGGATCAGATAAGAAATAGAATCATATATTCATACAATATGCTGAGTTGGAAGGAACCCATTAGGATCACTGAGTCCAACTGCTGGCCCTGTGCAGGACATGTGCCTGAGAGCATCTTGAGCTCCGTCAGACTTGATGCTGTGACCACTTCTCTGGGGCCCCCTGTTCCACTGCCCAATCACCCTCTGAGTGACAAATCTTTTCCTGACATTTAACCAAACCTCCCCTGACTCAGCTTCATGCCGTTTCCTCAAATTCTGTCCCTGGTCATCACACAGAAGAGATCAGTGCCTGCCCCTCCTCCTCCCCTCATGAGGAAGCTGTAACTGTAATGAGGTCTCCCCTCAGTCTCCTCTTCTCCAGACTGAACACACCAAGTGACCTCAGACACTCCTCAAAAGGCTTCCCCTCCAGACCCTTCACCATCCCTACAGTCCTGCTTTGGATGCTCTCTAATGGTTTGATGGGGTTTTTTTTATATTGCAATGCCCAAAACTGCCACAATATTCAAGGTGAGGTCATACCAGTGAGCAGAGTGGGACAATGACATCCCTTGACTGGCTGGTGATGCTGTGCCAGGACACGGTTGGCCCTCATAATCTACACTGAGTCCAGAGCTACATAAGCAGTGGTTGTCCAATATACACAACTGCCCTGCCAACTGATGACTGCTGAGTTCAGTTTGTCTTCTTTTCAGAGAAGAAAGTCAAGGCACTTCCCCATTATCTGATCAGCAGTTTCATTAAAAATGAATTGTTTTATTTATTTGTGAGGTCTCTTTTTCCACATTTGTCTAGAACTAATAAGCAAGGGTACTACTGTGAGAAGAAAAGGAAAATAGTGGCTTTGTAATACCAAGTTGGCGGGGAGGGAAAAAGAGGTGGCTCCTTCTAGTGGCTTAATTTTACCTGTGTCTACAAAACTGATCAAACTGCAGTTCTTTGACAGCATCCCAAAAACTCTGCAATCACTAAGTCATATCTTGAGATGCCATCTGACACAACCATATCAATGTCCCTGTTCCTGAAGTCAGCACCAGTGATACTGATGACATTTCTGATATGTGTACTTATCCATTCTCAAAGGCCTCCAAGTATCCATGGTTACTTGGTCAGATTTGACGGTTTCAATATTCTTACGGTTGGTAAAGTTTTCCCAGTATCCCTGATTATCACATAGTTCTTTACCTCTTCTAAAGCAATGGAAACTACTCTCTTGAAGAGTTCACTCATTTGTAAAAAAATTGTTTGTGCAAATAAAAATATTACTATTAGCAGCATGACCTTTTATGAAAGATCACTGCAACTGCAAAATGACAAGTGCTGAAACTAAAAACAGCCAGGTAAGGATTCTAATAATCTCCTTCAATAATATTTTATTCAATTATAACTCAAGTCTCAGTGAGAAAGAAAAAAGTAGAAAAGGAGAAAGAAGTTGTCATGGTATGACATTTAGAGTACTGAGAATTATAAAGAAAAAGTTTTAAATCAAAACATTTAAAATATATTTTTAGATATACTACTACAAATTCTATACTTCATACAGCATCAACTCTTTAAAGACCCATGCAGAACCCAAACTAACACAAATGTTCCCCAGAGCCACAAGCAAGAACAAACTTATAAAATATAAACAATAAAACAATTATCTGTGTATGAGCAGTTTTGTGGAGAGGCAATAACATATGTGAAGTACACCTAATGTTTTTATACAAGTTGATATTACTCAAGCAAAAATGCACACATAATTAAAGCTTCATTAAAGATTTAAGATATTCTGTTGCTAATTGTCAATTGCTGTTTATCAAAAAGAAAACAAAGAGCCACTCAAGCTTGTAAGACTTATAACCTATGAATAACATTATGCTGGGAAAAAAAACACACAATGATTAAACAGCCTGGAAGGTAGGCTCTTTTGGTAGGCTGATAATCCAAAACCAACTTCATTTCTCATCCTTAATTTTCTTAGCCACTCGCCAATTTTAAATTTATTTTGTAAGAGTCCCAAAGATAATGGATTTTCTTAAATCTTCACTGGCAGTCCCAGCTGATCATCCCAATTGGGGAAGGGTGAGAAGTCCAGCAACAGCTGGCAGCCCAATCCACATGGATGCCCAGGCCAGCAGCTCAGCAGCTCTTTAGCCTGATGCTCTCCTCACCCTCTTCTGTTGCTTGACCAGCTTCCTGGCTTTCTTGGAAGATGCGTAGTAAGGATACAGGGAGTGGGACAAGAAAGCAATAGAGCAGTATAAGAACAGCAGACTTAAGAAATCCTTATGAATCTTATGAAAATCAGGTTCCATGTGTCTTTGTGTAATTCCTCATGAGTTTTCTTCTCCAAAGCCCTGGGGGAATCACAGTCCCATGGCTGTCTTTAATGCATTACACAGATCTCCAATGCCAGACTCTTCATTTCACCAGTCCTGGCTTTGGACCAGATACATCTCCCAGATCCTCTCATGGAAAATCTTAGTGCAGCAGCACTTTCAAGTCTCTACTTAAAACCTTGTACTCACCTGTCACTTACAAAGTGGCCCTGATGCCAGCCAGAAGCCCTGTGCATCCCTGTGGCATCTCCCATGGGAAAGGCGACAAGGAAGACACATTCAAGAATCACCCAAGGGTTCTGCATGGGACATGCACAAGACATAGAAGGGTCATTTGTTCTCTGATGGGGAAAGATGGAAAGGAATGTGCCCATTCACTGAGAAAAGCTGGGCTAGCCACTCTTGTGTTAGGTTTTCCAAACTCACTTTAAATCATCTCCCAACACAAACTAACTGTATTGTGAAAGTGAGTAGTCCAGACAGTCTGTTGCTTTGAATTACATGGGATACTGAAAACGTTTTAAATTTCAAAACACCTGAGGCAGACACAGTTCTACACTGGTATGGCAGGGATCAGAAGGCACCCCACCTTCTCCTGCCAGGTGCTGAGCTGGGGCAGAGGAGAAGGTACTCCACATGGTTACAAGTCATACATAGGAAGATACTTGGTCTGCCTGTTGTAACCTTATCAACTGCAGGTTTATTTAATGAGATTCTATACAAATGTACCAACATCATACTACCCAAAAGTTCAGCTGTGTACAGAATTCAGCTACTTAGCAATCACTTCTTTGACAAATGATGTTCCTGCTTGGCTTTACTCCAGGACTGGTATCTTCTAAATTTTGCAACCTGCTACTGAAATTTTCTGAGTTCTGACAAGACCAAACTAGGGGCAAGTCATGACAGAAAGCAAAAGATAAAGCATGGGAATAACTGCACATGAGCATGTCTCAAATACAGAAATGCAGTTGTATCAATTCCTTGAAAGGTCATTTTCCCATCCACCTATTACTTTCCAGGAGAAGTTAAAAAGATAGCCAGCAAATAAGGCTAAATGTTGTGTCTTCCATCCCCAAAGCACACGTAGGACTTCATTACTGGGTTTTGTATTGGGACACAACTAGTTTTGCTAGAAGCAGACCAGTGAGACCTGCTACATCAAAAAAAATCTTTGAGACTTTCAGACAGTTTTATTTTCTACTTTTTCAATATCTAAGGATTTGCAATCCTGGGATCCCCAGGAAGAAAATCCCACTCAGGTAAGATATAGTTAAGCTCAGAAAGCTCGCTGCTGATAATACCTTTCACTCTTACTAATTTCCACTTCAGAGATTTTGTATGTTGAGGCTCAAAAGCATAGCCTCAGCTGTTATCCAAGGTTTCCACAACGCCACACTCAGCTAGCCTATTCATTGCTCAGAAAATATCTTTTCAGGGCTTTACCAGAAGCTATTCTAGAGTAAGCAGTTAGGAAACAGAAGAATGCAATTTAATAACTACTATCAAAATAAACTAAGTGCTACTTTAAATAAAAAAGGTCATCTCCCACACAGAGAGGATTATCAATTCATTACATCTACCCTTCCTCCCTCAACACTAAAGCAGCAATGTACCTCCATTGAATTCTTTGTTGTTCTACATAGAAAGAAACAAAGAAAAGGTATTTTCAAGGTATTTGTAGCACTTCTTATATAATACACATTCAAGTTAAACCTTTGTACAAGCTTCAGTGAATTTAATATAAAGTCACAGAAGACTGCAAAATGCCTTAATAACAGACCCAAGGCATCAGGCGGTAGTTGTTTAATTACATGTTTTGTATTTATTGAAAAGACAAAGCTAATGTTAATAGTACATTCCCTGAAGTCACACACTCTGCACCTGACCTACCCTACCATTCCAGCACTCTCACAGTGACTTCTGATCTGGGATGCATACAGCAACTTATTACCAGATTTAGAACCAAAACCAGAAGTTGACTGTTATCTGGCAGATTTTCTCGTGTGCCTTCAAACTCCTCAAACCACTCACACAGCACAGTAGAAGTACAGCAGCCATAAGGCACAACTGACAGGCACAACACCAGCAGAGCAGGTAATTTCTTTGTTTCACTGATCAGGCTTCAAGACCAGAAGCCACGGCTGCACACTCTGTTGGGTCACCTCACCAGAGTGAGCAACTCACGTGCAGCACATGGCTACGGGAACCACAGTACCTTCTTCATGCTATTTCACCATTGTTCCAATTTTAAAGATCTGGAAAGGTCTATCAAATTAATGGATTTCATACAGCTTTCAAAAGCATGAATATCCTCAGGAGTGCAGTGGCACTGTTGGAACCTCCTGTGGGGAAGAAAGAAGAAATGTTCTGAAATAGCTCAAGGCATCTTGCAATCGTAATATCCACTTCATCATTTCATAAAAAAAGGTTTGTGTACAAACACACAGCACCTTCTTTTGGTAGGCAGCTGTGGCAGTTAAAGACACCTGAGCTAGAAATGACACTTTCTGGAAGGAAAATCTAACAATCAGGACCTGAAAGAGGTTTTGTTGATCTATATTTACTACCAAATCCCATTAATAACTTTCCAAACATATTCCCTAGCAGTGTTTCTGCTAATCCAGCATTACTATTATGGTTTCTCCCAACAATTATAATTATATTTTTCAATACCTTTAACTCTGAAACATCCATCTTTGTTCTACCACTTTCAAAAAAATTAACTAACTTCCTTTAACTAACCCCCCATTGTTTCATTGAGGGTACTTGCACAATTTTACTATTTTTGTCTTAATCTCTTTTTACCCAGCATCTGATTGCACTACCTCTGCCACTCATCTATCTGATCCTTTTAAGTGAAAGTTGATCTTCCTACAGGTCTTACTTTATGTGGATTTTTGACGGAAGAAGGGCAAATAGCACAAACTGTAGTAGGTAATGTTTGGAACTATATCAAAGACAGACCCGTTGCTACAGGGTGCACTTTTAGAAGCATTCTGATCAATTGCAAAGGAATAAAAAAAGTTGCTACAAAGCATGACCATATGCAATTACACTATGATCACCTGATTCTCCTTTGCAAGATCAAACACATAACATACATTCTCAGCCTTTACCATATTCTGCTCAACTTGAAGTGTTAACCTAAAGAAGTTGGCCACTGAAAGAGTCACGGAATGCTGCTTCAAGGGTAAAACTAAAAAGCAAAATGATTTACCACACCACCAAATTGTCGTTCTCATGGGAAAAAACCAACATCAGAAAACTACATCTGGTTTCAAGCAAAAGAAGAAAAGAGTAGCTGCTTAAATCAGTTTCAAGGATGAATTCATCCTGGATTGTGAAAAGCAAAGTTATGCCAAAATCCCTCTGAAAGAGATTGTTCAAGGTGAGGATTGCTCCCTACAGTATTGTTGAAGCTCTTGCATCACTGAGTATTCACTTCTCCAAAAATGTATCTTCCCTCACTCCCTGGGAGACTACTTCACATTCTGGTAGACATCAGTATGGAGACGTTTTTTCCAATGTTTAGTTCTTTTTGTATCTCACTGTATCATTCACAGTTAAGTCCTCCTTACCATAGATAGCTTTGTTTCCTATTGCTTCTACCAGAGCTTTTTTGGTTAGGAGGTAAGATTATTACCCTTTATTAACAAAAGGGAGATAACATTTCAGTCCTGTCCAATTATTAAGAATCTTTCCTATGCTGTTAACATCCTTCTGTTATTTGTTTAAGACAAACAACTCAAGCTGTAAGGGACACACAACTCAGGCAGAGATCAAAAGTTTGTAAGTTCTTTCAAAGCAAAGAACTTCAGAAGCAAGTTATGCTCCAACACTAGAAACTTGCTATCAAGATTCTAACATTACCCTTAACTCAGTTCTTGTACTCCTTGTTATTTCTCTTCAACAGGTAAAAAATTTGCAGAGTGAAATCTTTTCCTCACAAAGAGACATTAACAACCATTGACCTTGGACTCCTGTCATGCCTCAGCTCAAAGAGTTGAACCAAAAAAAAAAACTCTTTTTTTGACAGCATAAGGTTTACCATGTAAAATGGAGAAAGAAAGAATCCAGGAATGCATTTGTTCCTAATGAATTGATGAAACCACGCAAACACTCACATAAAGCAGTGTACAATCACAGCAGCAGCAACAGCATAACTTCATTTGCTAACCAAAGACTACAGAAGTGCCATGTACTTCATAGGCAGACAATAACAACAGAAACTGTGTAGATGTCTGTCACAACAAGGCCTTCAATTTGTGTAGTTCACTGAGTACCTCTATTGGCATAGCAGAAGAAAATCAGATGCCATCTTAGTTATATACATATAGATACCATCCCAACAATATATTCAGCATTAATAAAAAGAAACAAATGTAAAAAGAAACAAATGTAAAATTGAGAAAAAGCTCTTTGACCATAAATTCACAAGGCAAACTTTCCCTGAGCCTGAAGGATCAGAGTTACGCAGAGTAGTCACCACCCACTGCTGAGTCTTCAGCATTAAGAGACAATAATTTATTAATTTATTGGAGCCAGTAGGCCACTGGCTCCAAACTGTAGACTGTGAAGCTGTTTCTGTGTTCACAATGGTCATGTATCTGACAATTTTTAATTTCTAAGGTACTCCCAGTAACTCAGTCTATGACTGTCCAATAATTTTCCAGACTTGAAGCTGGGGATTTTTCTGAAAAATACGTTTTTATATTAAAAGTACACCCAGACACAAAGTTATTCAATTCTGTCCCTGTGTGTCTAACACAGGTTCAGCAGATCCTTTGCAAAGGTTGTTTTTCTAACCTTGATCCCCTGCAGATAAAAATCCACTATTACATCATTGCTTTTTCTTGGGAAATACGTCACACATACTGGGAAGTCATGAATGGGGCTACATTAAGAGGCAGAAGAATAAGCCTCCTCAGGACAAAGAAACAAATAGAAAACATTATGATGTTACTTACAAACCAGATACAGATGGGAGGAAAGAGAAAAAAGATTATAAATCCCCACCACACACAACTCAAAGGCATTTAAAACACAAAGTACCCACACCAAAACCTTCACATTGATAAACAGATACACACCAGATACAAAATAAAATGTGTGCATGAGATTACCTTCCAGAAGCACCTTGTCATGAGTGCCTACACATGCAGATGGAGCTGAAGCATGACAATGCTATGCCTTACAAGGAGGAATTCAATTTTTACATGCTACACTTAGGGACAGGAAAAATAAAATTATAACTAGCATACAGGAAGGTTTCCCCTGAGGTACCTGGGCTGAGACTGAAGAATCCGTGATCGTAAAGATAATCCTGGAAACAAAAAGAAAAGCCGTGCTACCGCCCTGAGTCCCCAGACTAAAACTGGCAACAATACCACGCCCATCTCATAAAATGCATATTGAAATTGGTATATTTTCACTCCATGTTTGCTTCTGACACTCAATTGCCTCCTCATAACTGAACATGTCAAAAATCTCATCAGTTCTGTGTCAGTGCTTACTTATTAAGCCATAAACATCAGCAAGAACAGACTTGGGAGCCACCACAAAAGAATTCAGAAACTACTGCCTATGAGGAAAGCCTATCACAGCTGATGAGCAACAGAACAAAAGACTAAACTTCTGAAGCTTTAGTCTCTCTAGTCAGCAGAAAATAGTTACCAGAATTATATCCCTGTTGATCCATACATTTTCTGTTTAGACAGGACTGCAGCCAGAAGATTTGTGCTTTGGATAATCAAAGCACAGTGGAGATCTTTCAGGGAATTTCTTCCCCATGATAAAAAACGTTCTGATTTCATGAATGTTGTTCTTAAACAGTCATTGGATCACCAAGTGTCTTCAAAAGATTCAGTTAACAAACAAACGTGCAAGAATAAACAGACTTCAGAAATTATAGCAGTCCGAATATGTAATTCAAGTATAAAGGCAGGTGTTTTTTATATTATATGTTATGTCCTTGTTAGATATTGCAAGTTACAAACCCACTATCAGGCTATGTCATCAAAATGTACCAGATGGATGCTCCAGTTACACAAATCTCTTCCCTTCCTCACTACTCTCCTTCAAATAGGGTGTAACACTTAAAGACCAGTGACAGGCACCAGCATGGAAAGCTTTATGTTGATAATTACTTAAGTGTAATCGCTGCACCAATTACTTTAGCCAAAAATAATGTTAAAATCTGGACTTGAACTTCAAACCATTTACAAAGCTGTACTGCCACAGTGCTTGCAAGGCTTCAGGAAGTTTGACCAGGGTGAACACAGTACTATGCACAACTGAAAGTCTCAGGCAAGTTTGATTTTTTTGCTAAATAATCCAGTCCTGCCACCAACCTCACACAAGCTCCCTTGACACTGCCATAAGAGATAACTCATATACCTTTTACCACTTTCAACATCCCAATTTGTCTTCTTAGAGAAAAAAAATCAACTAGACTCCTCTCCTTCCCATACTCTCTGCATTATGCACACACATTTCCCGTTGACTGATGCTGCTGGACAGACCAATCCCTTCAGACTGACTTCAGAAGTATTTTAACTGACTGAAAAAATACCATCCTCTTCCTTGCATCACAAGAAGCTCTGAATTAGTCAACCCCACACTGTGAACTCCTTCACAGTAATTTCACAATCTGGTTTCAGGTGTAAAATTAGAGTACATATAGCTCAGTGGTTCCAATGTCCAGTGGCCCTAAAATCACTGTTTTACACACTACCATTTAAAAATACAAGGCTACTGGGCTGGCAGCTGCAAAAGTCTTTCTTTCCAAAACAAATGAAGAAGTTCTGTTTTCAAATGAAAAAAGGAACGCTTACCTTACTCTCTGGATAACAGAATAGCACAAACAGCAGTATCTGGTGTACGTATATGAACTTGCACCACAGTGCCTCTGGATACCACTGGTTACAAGATCATAACATAGACTTTAACACTGCAGATCAAAATTGAGTTGTGAACTGCTCAGGTTTCAGTAGTTATATACTGGAAGGGGAAAAAAAAATTGAACTTCCAGTCATTAGCTTCATGGACAAAGAGGCTGAAGAAAAAGTATCTTCAATACAATATAAATTTGCACACCAGAAACGTGACATATAAAAACTGCCTTTGCTTTACGCACAAAAAGGTTGTTCACTTCCTTTTTAAGTCCTATAGAATCACCAGAAGTCAATCAGTTTTTGAGTAGAGAACTCAACAACCTTTTGGCAAACTGACTGTATGAATGCTAACTGTATAAAAGCTACAATTGTGCTTTTAGTATTTACTTTTCATGTTTTCCTTGAGACAAAAATTTTGTTCAAGAGGCTGGGTTATCACGGCTCCTAAAAGAGAAATAACAATCAGTAGCTAATTAGAAATACTAGTTCTTTTTAATAATATATTATATTTTAATCCTAAACATGTTTCAATATATCGTAAAGTATTAGGTATGTGTAACTCCTAAAATATAAACATGTTTTATGTAGCCTTTAAATTTGCATTCAAAAGCAGCTTGACCTAAGCTGAAATAACAACATTCAGTCTTTACAGTTTTTGTAGGTAGAGAAATGGAAAAATATGTGGGGGTGTCCTACATCCGCACTCAATTTTAATTGCAGTTAAAATTGCTGATTCCAAAACCAAGTGTGGGCCAAAGGGTGCCACACTTAAAATACAACCCACTAAAACCGCCTGACTTGGATAAGACTTTAAACTAGGGCTAAGCAGTCAGATGTTGAGCATGGATGTTGAAGGTAACGCAGAGCCATATTATGAAGTATGGTGCTGTGGCGCTGTCCCCTTGGACCGATGCCTAACCCCCTGCCAAGAAGGCATCAAGCTTGAACATCTCTTCCCATGTGCCTTGCAGCCCTAGTGTGATCCTGCATGAGGAACCTTTTGGGGACTTTGGGATTTTCTCACTGTTACGAAATAAAAATAAAATGTCAAAATCTGAATGATGTTGTGGCAATCTCATAAGTGGATTACATTAATCGTTTATCAGCAAGGGATAATAATTCTTGAGCAAAAGCAGAACCCTGAGTTCATCCTTATTCATCACTCTGAGACCAAAAAAGTCCTGCATGAGGAAGCTTTCGAGGACTCCGGAATTTTCTCATTGTTATGAAATAAAATTAAGATGCCAAAGTCTGAATGAGGTCATGGGAATCTCATAAGTGGATTACATTCATCATTTACCAGCAAGGGATGATAATTCTTGAGTGAAAGCAGAACCGTAAGTTCATCCTTATTTATCACCCTGAGATAAAAGGAATAATAGCTCTGAATATCAGAAATACACATGAAGTTTTTGGAAAGGTTATGTAAAATGTCCACTGAAAACGCAATGGAATTACAAAGCTATAGACTGGTTTTGCACTGACTCTTTAACTTAATACAAATTTCTGTCAGCTCACTGCAGTGATAACTGGGAGAGATTTTCTCATTAAGCTAAAGCTAACTGCACTGCACATAGGAATATAGGAATGCTGCTTAATGATTCTTTCATTTCTTAAAAACAGTGCTCTAATTTTGAAACCATTGCAACATAACAGAAAAAAGAGTTTTTAAATTCCTGGGCAATAATTTCTTCCATCTTGACCACCTTAAAAATCCAATTACCAAAAATTAAAATTATCGGGTCCTGAATGAGCTAATACAGCAAATACACCTGCACTTCAGTCCTTTCCTGGGGGGAGGGCAATGGTAAGATGGACTTAAAAACCATCAGGAGGAGATCACCATTTCCCTCACACAGTACATGCCCTTCACTCCAACACTCCCATCACCCCAACGCCAGCAGCAAAGCAAGCAGCTTTCTGCAGCTGGTTTGCCCAGCAGAGGATAAGGAGGGCAGGTCAGAGGAAGGTTTGCCTTCAGCAGCCATGTCCATCCCACTGGTACGGTAAGCAAAACCTTCAGCATGCGTTGGTGTTCTACACCCACAAGGGACACAGCATTTCAGATGCAGAGCTTCATGCCTTGGTTCAGCCAAGAGCTACAAACACGGCATAAGCAGCCCTTGTCTTAGTCACCTGATTGGAGCAGAGCTTAGATCAGATGGCATCCAGGGATCCTTTCCAATTCAAGTTACTCTGTCATCATAAAAAAGCTGGTGTGAGAAAGCTGTTAAGAAAAGAGAAGGAAAAACACCTCAGCTCCCCCCACACATCATACAAAATGTAACGATTTCCTCTTCCAACAGTGAAGGCAGTATCCACTCTCTTAATATTTAGTGGAGACAGCAACATATAAAAGACCTACTGGTTTTGCAGGTTCTTTGGATTTGAAGAGTGTTAGTTAAAGCATTCTGCTAATATCAGCCTGGGAAAGTCCTAGAGAAAGAGCTTTTACACTGTGCTTCCTCACCCAGCTTTGGTGGGAGTTTTTTCAGATATTACTCTTAGTTGTTTTTCCTAATTTAAATTTATTTAGTTTAAGGTTTTATATTTGAGATTTCCAAAGCACCAAGATTTCAAACATGATCAAAGTCCCATCAGAACAGACACTACATAAATTCATGGTAACAGTAACACTTTTGTCAAGAACTGCAACTCATTTATCAGAATAAATAAAAAAAAAATTTTAAAATCCACAAATAAAACGTAACCATATGTTAGGAAATTAAAGATATACATATTCATGTATGTTTTAAATCTTCCATTATGTTTTTATTTTTCCTCCTCCTTTTGTTTAAAAGAACCCTTCTTTTACCCAGTCTATAAGTTCTTGCCCTCCCAAATACCCAACAAGTTTTGAGCAAAATATGTTACTTAAAAAAAAATAATTCTGAATGACCACCACAAGAGGAATGATCAGAACCTTATGTACAAAAGTGAAAACACTTGCAGAGAAATAAAATTATTTAACAAAATCAATATAGGCACCAAACCTATATCTCCTAGATACTGAACCAATACCATAACCATATATAGACAGAAAGACAGTTCTTCCCCTGATATACATCCCCAAAAAGGAAAAAACAAGGCAACAGTGAGTTAATGTTATATAGTTGCTCAAATGATCTTGGCCAAGATGCCTAAGTTTTGTAAACTCCATGGGACTGCTGTGCTGGTGTTTTCCTGACCTGCACTCATTTTTTAGAGTTGAAAGTTTGAAAACTAAATTCAGTAGAGATACTCCTGATGCACAAAAAGGGTGCCACAGAAGAACAGAAGAGTTTAATTAGTTGAAAAAAGAAATTACCACTAAAAGAATTCAGTCAAAATTCCATGGATGTGCTGCTCAGCTGTCACATTAACTCAGACTTTTAATGAAGTCTCTCACTCCCTACACTCACATTTTTCTCAGATGGATGACAAGGTGGTCATCTTCTAAAGGTAAGTAATTTTTACAGAAGTGCTCATGAGAAAGAAAGAACTAAATAATGCTTAATTGTTGGCTTATGAGCAAGATTTGAAGGAGCCAATAGATAGTCCAAGAACAGGTTTGGTTTTAATTGGTTAAACTTCGGAGAACATCTCCTTTCACTAGGCAATGGGAAAAACAGAAGCTCCCAATGTGGTTTACCTCATCTAGGCTATTTATTGTTTTAAATACTACTAATACATTTCCCTCACTAGTTTCCTTGATGATGTACAAAACCCCACTGCTTATCCACAGACAGTTACCTACAGAGGCTTATTGGATGATGGAAACTTCTCCTGAAAAGTATTTGCAGTTAGACAGAAAACACCACAGGAAACACAATGGACCAGGTGAGATGCCACTTGCCTAGCAGCATCTCCATAGAAACAGATCTCCTTAGAAACAGAACTGCACTTCCATTCCTCCTCTCTTGTCAAGATGGACTGTCTCCAGCAGAAAGAGGTCTAGTGGAAAAACATGCAGTTATGGTCCTAGAGTATCTTCAGCTAAGTCCTCTGTCATCCACATCTGTTGTGTACCCATTATGCTGCTCCTGGATTTATTTCTTCAGAATTAGGACAGGCATTATCATCATGTGCCTGCATACGTGAAAGCATCCAATAAAGATGTTTCCCTAGGCCCCTTCAGTAAAGCGATAAACACAAAGCCCTTTCAGAAGAACACCAACGCATGCAGCGGAAACAGCAAAATACTATCACACTGCTCTTAGTAGCTGATTTATCAAATCAACCATTACTGTGAAGCAAAACCAATCAATCTCTTTTTCAGAAACCTTTAACCTCGATGCAATATGTATTACAGGCCATCTATCAGAAATATATGAGCCTCAGTGGGTTGTGTGCTAGCTCTTTCATTAAGCAGGAATCTTCACCGTCTACGAAACCAGAAAAACACATTTAAAAATGCATTACTGGCACATTATGGCTTCACTTAAATCTATGGTAATAGGATCTCGTACAAATCTAAGCTTTAATTAATCAAGCTGCATTGCCTATAGATGACATGTATTAAACTACCTGAAACAGCTCTAATATCTTTTAATTATCTCTATCTTTAAGCATAAGAGAAAAGGTCTGATTCTCACAATCTCATGTAAATCCAGAGCAGCTATGATCAATAACAGACAACGCGCATGCCAAAGGAAAAAATGCTGAATCTGGTCTGAAGTATCTAGGCCATGAGATGCGAGCGAAAAGTTTTAGCCTTCTGCTTGATTTTTCCTTAATTTTGTCTATGTGAAGACTATGAAGTTTATAATTTTTTTTTTTTTAACATGAGCACTAGTTTTGGATATTAACCCTGAACTCACATACATGTTGCAATATCACAGAACCAACACGGTGTGTATTTTCCTAGTAATCTTTTCTGTATTTTGGATAAGTTTTTCCTGATTTTGTTTGCCATAAACAATACCACACACTGACACAACTTAAAGCCAATTTAAAACCACTGCAAGAGGCTACCCACACTGGCCTGTTAAAAATACAAAACAACTCAACAGGAGAGATTCCATTTCTTTCTACCCTCATGACTTTTATGCCAGCTCTAGTGCCATTAAGCACTGCTTATAAAAAGAAATGCTAACCACATTTCAAAGACACACATAATCCTCATATTGAAGGCTTCTTAAGCTAAAGAATGTAGGCATTGCATATGACTGTGGCTTAAAATGGTATAAAAGAAGTCAGAAGCCAACTCCTGGTCCAATTAAAACCCATTCAAATCTCATATGCAAAGAATTCAGGTTTCTGATTAGGGTTGCTATTTAGATGACACAAACTTTAGCCTTAAAATTAGTAGTCCATGAATTCAAAAGATTACGGAGTACTTACATCCATATAGAGCAAACAAAATGTTCAGATCACGATGTTCATACCTTCAAAAATCCACACCCACTTTCCCTGCCCCAAAAGATGATGGACTACAAGATTTTCACCTTTGGTATCCACCATGGCACCACATCCAGCATGACAAAATCTCTTCTAAAGCATTATCTTCTATGTTTTAAATACATGAAGGCAGTTCTAACAAGTTATAAAAATGGGAATGCATTTATATTCTTCCAAACATGTAAGGAATTGAAAACTTATCATAAACAGAGGATTGAGAATTAAATTAACAGCTTAAGAAATTGTGAAAAGGATTTTATACTAAGTAACCAAAAAGGGATATACTAAAAAGCTTTGGCATTTCTCCCTCTTCACACACCAAAACTATCTTTTCTGTCTACCTAGATATATCAAATGCCCTTCACAGTATTCTTAAATTTTGTAACTAGAGGTCTAATCTATGATTACCTTTATTTTGATAGCCTTCCAAAAGGCTGGCTTTCCATCTGTTAAAACACAGCATAGTAGCCAGAAAATTTGCTATTTTAAGTAAGGATAATGCATTAGCATAACATAAAAGTATCTTTCAAGCTACAATCAGAAATGTCCAAGAAAACTTAGACCAATGAATTACATCATTCATAGTACACAGCCAAACTTGAGCCACCATTAATTCTGTAGAAATCTGTTTGGCCTAAAAGCTCATAGATATCTCAATCTCAGAAAGGCAAGATATCTTTCACTCAGGTTTACATTTCACTCATTATACACCCACAACATCCACCCAAGGTACATTAAAACACTAAATGTACTGGTTTTGCAGTTTCCTGTGATATTCCATTATCACTCACTGAACACTTCATTTTTCAGTACAAATATGCACAAATGCCCATAATTCAACAATAACTGTTTTCCTTCACTCCTGAACCGCACTTCTGGGCAGTCTTCCCTGCCCCTTCTCCCCACAGCATTAGAGAAAAAGGTAAGCATACACCTCACTTATGGTTTGATAGCACACAGGAGAATAAACACATTCTATTTCACCGTCAGTGTTCGGGAAGCACAGGCATCACATGCTTGTTTCTGACATGGGCTGCAAAGGCAGGTGCAGCTGGTCCAGATTTAACAGCAATGCAGCAGAACCTGGAGTACTGTGAGTGGGATATTTTGCAAGGGCAAGTTGGTCAGGACCCCATGGGCCATGGCTACAGAGCAGACACAAACCTGCAGCCACCTGGGTGTCCTCTTATCAGCTGGTGTAACACGACACACGTCAAAGACATGAAAAATGCTACATGGCTGATCTGCCCTACACCCACATTAGCTCACTCTTAATATATGCAGAGTCAGGCAAACACCTCTGGCTTCTAGTTCCTCAGCAGCTATGAAAACAGCCAGCCGTGCAATGCACTCTCTAAAGCAAACCGCAATTCCACAGCCCAAAAATCTACAACAGGGGAAAGCAAAAAGGATGTTGCAGTTTTCCAGCCTAGGCCCATGGTTCCATCTCTCTGAAAAGGCAGGTTTACGATGGCAATAGAACAAGTCTTGGTAAATTGCTTCTCTTAACACTGATCCTTACAGAAGGCAGATGTAGCACATTCGGCTGCACCAACCACGACTGTGATTCAGGCAAGCATTGTTATCAATCTGCTTTTCCGGGAAGAAAAGATCAAGACGCCTTCCCTTTCCTGAAACCAGAACGTGATGGTAGCAGATGTCACCTCCCCCTCAGCCCAGGGATGGAGAGCACGCCCCACGGCGAGGATGGGGAGATCCAGGCCCCGCTAGGTTCCCTGCTGCAAATCGGGACGAGACCAATCCCGGCAGCATCTCTCGGCGGAAAGGGATGCTGCGACCGTCCTGCTGCGACGGCGACCATCGATCGGCGGATGCAAAAT